ACAACACAAGCTGCAGAAGAATGTGGCAAAGACACACCAACTGATATTTACTACGTTTTCGACCCAGCATCCCTTGGTTTGGACATCACCGGATGGGTTACCCAATTCATCAGCTACACCCTTGAAGTACGAGAATTCAAATTCATGCAAATGGGAGTCATCAGTGGCTCATGTCCAATCGATTCTGGATTCAGTTTGAATACATATTCTTCCAACAAAAAGATCAGAAACCACTTGGCCAGATACGACTCCTCCAGACTTCCAGCCCTCATCGGCTCAGTTCCCGAAGAATTCAACCAAGCAAGATCTGGTGCCCGAAAGGTTGCTGTTATCTTTATTGGTGGTAAGGTCGATGCCATGGCTGTTATCGAACAAGCTGAAGCTGCCCATGCCGCTGGCATTGATATCTTCTTTGCTGGTCACGAAACTGCTGATAGAAACCTTCTTAATGCTTTGGAAGAAATTGGATTCGGGCAACGACTCTTCCTTAACGGATACAGCGCCAGAGGTCAAGCCGCTCAATTCGTTGAGGCTTTATGCAGTAAGTAGATATTAAAATTTTGTTCACTGTAAAATAGTCCGAAAACGTTTATTGCTGCAACAGTACCTGTTGATAAATTGTACCACCCCGCTCAATTGATTCCATAAATATTAAATAGGAAATTCCTACATATAACATGAGTTCTCTTCCTCCTAGAGGCATGATGGTAACATTAAATAACGGACACAATTGTATGGTATACTACTCCTTAGTTTAACTAAGAAGTAATACACCATAAAATTGTGTCCGTTATTTAATTTGATCTCTACCCCTAAATGCCGCCAATGGATTCTGATGGTAACAGTATCCTAACAGAAGGCGTTTGTGAACTCCCGACTTTAACATTCGACAAGATCTCACGAGACTAAAAAGATAACTGTTGCTTTATAATGGGATATTTAAATGATTCTTTTTTGAATTTTTAGGCAACTATTAAGAAGTTGATGCTGATGACGATACTGCGGATTGGATACTGAAGATGAA